CATTATTTTCCATGTCAACACATTATGAAACTATTATAAAATTAATACCATTAATACACATTTTTAATTTTTTTTACATTGTTTATTTATTTTAATCAGGTATTATGGAAATATTACCCCATGAAGAATATATTTTAAAAAATTACGTAATGTATTAGTTTATTTATTTATTTATTTATTATTATTATTTTTATTATTATTATTATATTATTATTATTATTATTTTGTTTAACGTGACTTATGATGTCATTTTGCATTACAGCCACGCATATATATATTTAAGAGATCTCATTTTAAATTATAAGTTGTTTAAAATTATTGATCATAAAGATATATTAACAAGAATCTCTTTGAGATAATATTAAGCAAACAATTTCCAATCGTTGCTGTTAATGTACAGAAGAAACTAATTTTGTTTACAAAATAAATTATATATTTATATATCTCTGAAAAAAATAATTATTTATCTTTCTCTGCAATATTTATCAATGTTTAAAGCTTATTAGCATTAATAACAAATCAAAAAATGCTTTCGTTGAGAGTATTTTAATAATATAGTAAAGAAGTACGTATATATGTATATATATGGCAGCACAGTCTTGACAACGCTTTGTCCCAAAATGATATAGATATAACATAAAAGTATCAGTTATTTCCCTTTTTTTATTGTATTATTTGTTTTTTTATTTTTAATAAAACCCAGCAATTATTATTCATAATTTCATTGATTTAAGATGCGTATGAATTTATTATAAGGAATAAACTTATTACGAACACAAAGTTCATAATAGTTCCCTTCATTGTATTGCAGTTGACTTTGCAAGAAAATACATAAAGAACGGTCTCATAGCACCATTTTAACATAAATCTTATAATGAGAACAATATTTAAAGATTATAACGTAGAGATGAAGATTAATTATGTTTTTAACAAAGTCCTTTAGAAACATACACAGTGATCACCATGTGTAGCCTTCTCTACAATGTTCATATATCTTTTAGATTTACTAATGCTGATCATGTTTTTATGCCAGCTATTCTCTTTTTTTTTTTTTAAATTTAATATCTGGCATCTAAAGAAATGTTATTACTCAGTTTTGAAGCACTGTAATGCAGAACCGGAATACCTTGCACAGCTACTCTATAAAAAACTCACAAAGAGGGAAACAAAAAAGAGAAAAATGAAATAAAATTAAAACAAAAAACTAATTAATTTGTTTAAGTAGTTCTAATATTTATACTCTATGATTCAATATTCGCGGAGAAAAAAACGAGGAATAAATATATTCATAGAAGGGTTTTTCTTTAAAAGAATTGCTGCGATAGTGTAAATAATTGATTTGCATTATAGATTGAAACATATTTAATGAGTAATAATGCCGGTTATATTCACTTGAAGTTGCACATAAACACACAATACTACTTATACTTCATTGCATTATTTATGAATCAATAGACTAATGTACTTAATAATTATTAGACTAATTATTAACCTAAGATTGTGATCACCCATCAAATCAGCCATTATCTAAGCAACATTCCCTTCTTGATATAGAAACAAAACAGCGATATATAAAATTTGCGATTAAACCAAAATTGCTAACGAGATAATTTTCATATTTGCCGACTTGACTGACTGCACCAAAAATTCTGGATTTTCTTAAAAACAAACTTTATCCGCGAATTTTTGCATTTAAGTAAATTAATAATAAACATAATATAGAATAATAATAAATCGTAATAATCATAAAGATAATAATAGGTAATAGTAATAGTATGCTGGCAGCAGTTAGTAACCAGATATATTCTCAGTTAGAACTCTCGCTAGATGACAATCTGACATGGCACTGACGTCCAATTTTGAAACATTCACACTCACACACTCACTCTAATTGGCAATCAAACAAATCGTTTGCTGTCTGATGTTCTATTTCTCTACTCCCTTTCAATTTTCTATCTGAAATTAATTTTTTTTGCACCTCTTCCACTCTGTATCATTCATACATGTATATTTCACTCCTAAACACACAATCAGCTGCCAGATAATTTATCTTGTTTCTTCTGGGTTTTATATTCTGTTTGTTTATATAGTTATATCCATTCCCAACGATTCTACACACTAAATAGTTCAAATTTTTTGCACTTTTTCACCAACAACAACTGGATTATTACGCCGTATCTCTTGGGCGCCCATTTCTCTATAATCAAATTTGCAGTCGTGCTTATCACTGTATCGATGCACGGAGCAGAATAGTCCTCCGCAACGACACTCAAATCCTAAAAATATAAGAAAAAGTTTTAAATGATACTGAACGTATATATGATATAGATTATAAAAATTAAAAAATAAACAAAAAATTTAATCTATCTTTCATATAAGTAATTAATATAAATAATATATCGTACCAGTTAATCCAACTTTTTTACGACAAACGGCACAACGATTTTTCTTCTTCTTAGATTCTTTATCAGTCTCTTTGCCATCGAAGCACTCATCTGTATCACCACTACTCACTGAACCTTCAGCTAC